GCCGCCTGGCGCCTCCGTCCCGGCTCTCAGGGGCGCTGCAGGCCGCGCCACTACAGCGCCCCGCCCCCAGTGCGCAGGTGCAGCAACCTCCCCACGCAGCGCCCCCACGCGCAGGCGCGCTCCGGAAAGGCTCGCGAGGGGGCATGCGCCCTAGCCTCTGGGAGGAGAGGGGCAAGGAGCGACTGCGAGAGCACGACAGCGGCCGAGCGATGTACTGCGCAGGCGCAGCGTAGGCGAGGCTGTGGGCTTATCGGGTGCCCGCGTGGTCACGTGGGGCTGGGGGCCGTGGAAACAGGGAGGTGACTGCCCTGTGTGCTTCCGTCTAGTCACCCCGCCCCCCCGTACTGTTTCCAGTTACCAAGACATACTGCTCCCAGTGGCCCCTGTTACGAACTCACCGGAACATTGTGGGTTAAAACTTGCAATCAAACAGCATTCCCCCCTCATAGAGTTCATAGACATTAGGGCTGGAAGGGACCTCGGAAGATCGAGTCCAGCCCCCTGCCCGAAGGGCAGGAAGTCAGCTGGGGTCATAGGATCCCAGCAAGATAAGCATCCAATTTAGTCTTGAAGGTGTTCAATGTAGGTGCTTGAACCACCTCTGATGGCAGGCTGTTCCAGACCTTGGGGGCTTGGACAATAAAGAAATTCTTCCTTATGTCCAGCCTTGAAACGGTCTCACAGTAGTTTATGACCGTTCGATCTCGTCATACCTTGGGGTGCTCTGGCGAACAAACATCCTCCAGATACTGGCAGTCACCCCTGATAAACTTATAGGTGGCCATCAGATCACCCCTGAGCCTGTGCTTTTCCAGGCTGAAGAGCCCCATGGCTCTCGTCGTAAGGTCTGTTTTCCTGACCTCTGATCACGCTTGTGGCTCTTCTCTGGACTCTCTCAAGTTTCTCCACATCCTTTTTGAATTGTGGAGCCCAAAACTGGATGCAGTACTCCAGCTGCGGCCTCACCAAGGCCAAGTACAAGGGGAGAATGACATCCCAGAATTTGCTTGAG